GAATTTTATAGTCTCTCTCTTTTCTTCAGTTTTAGAGATGGAGAAGAGTAATAGCACTGTGTAATAACTTGGCGTACAATTTTGTGAATTTTGCTGTTACCTGGATTTATTTGTAGCACAGAAAGCCCAGACTGGTGGCAGAAAGAGAGAACATGCATGGAGTTTTATTTAGTCCATAGATTTGAAGATTTTTGGTCATACCATGCCATTTAATGCTTAAAAACTGTAGGGTCTGAGGTGAAAAAGGGCTACTTGAAAAATCTCAACTGTGAAGCAGTTTTCAAGTGATGCACATGATCCTTGGAATGTGATTTTTTTAATGTTACGTTTCTGTTGTTAATTTTCAAACCATTTGGTACTAACACTGAAATACTTAAAAATAAAAGGGGGGGAGGGGGGAGAAAAAAACTACATCATCTTTGTAACAGTGTATATGAGCAAATGATTGCACATTTGCCATTTGGCGTGTTTTAAAATATATTTTGGTGTACCTATGGAGTCTTTATCACTAGATTCCTTGGAGCTGCTTGGATGGTAGGTGAGACTGCTCGGCTTTGAAAGCGCAAGGCAACTTCAGCAAAGACATAAAATGTGTGTCATGGACATCTTACTTGTAACTATCTTCCCACCATTTCTATAGGAATTAAATAAACTTTTCAACATTTTCAAGTATCCTCTTCTATACATTTTTTCAGGTTGTCCAGCTAAGTTGCAGTTTATGTCCCACTGGCTGTGATCCTTGAGATCCTACAGTGAGGCTGAAATGAATTTAAGATTAATGCGTTTTTTTGGTTTGTTTCTTTTTTTTCCCTATGGCTCAGATCTGAATGTTTTTTTTCTTTCCTTCCCCATTTGTGCTTTTTATCCTGTTGGTATAGTCCCTTATTTATACAGTTTACCCTTTATATTGGTTAATTTTATGTGTAAACTCATATAATATGTATGTACATTTTAAAAACTCTCATCACTCTGAAGGCATTGAGAGTTTGGGAAAAGAGAGAGGATACCATTCTTAAACTCCCTTGCACTTAAACACTCATCAGTTATGGCACAAATTCCAGTGTTAAGATTTATTTTTTGTTTAAGTGGAGTGTCTTGGGGGAGTTTGAGCTCTTCAAAGGTATTTGCTGATTCCCTGCCTGGATCAACCCTAACTGATTGCTCTCCCTATTCCCCTCTCTTGTGGCCTTGGTTTTCCTCTAATTACTAGCTCCCCAATCAACTGGGGGCTTAGGGCTTGGGAAATTACTGCATCTTCCTCCCAACTGCAGCAGTTATTTAGTGCCTGTTTCCACTGTAAGCTGATGCAAAGAGAATAAAACAAGCTTTTGTTGGTTGGTTTGTTTTTTTGGGGTTTTTTTTGTTGGTTTGGTTTTTGTTTTTGTTTTTTTTTAACCTATCCAGTCTTTTTAAACTGACTCTTAGAAACTGAAAAACTATTCCAACCACAGCTGAAGAGGCTATCTAGGATCTGGGATTGCCAAGATGAGCCTGCAACTGTTCTGTCACTGCTGTTTTCTGTGGGGTTTTCCTCTCACCAAGTGCTGCCGTTTTTGTAGCATTTGTTTGACTAGGCAAGAGAGGAGCAAGAAAAATAAAAAATAAATTCAGTCATCTGGATTTCTGTTTTGTGAAAATCCTTTCTTCTGCCTCAGCCCCCTTTGCCAAGAAAAGAAGTATGACCAGACTTTATGAAGCACACTGAAAAAGCTTCACAGTTGCTCCAAATGAAGGACAAAACAATTTACAGAGTTCCTCTTGAGTGTTTCTGAACAAAGCTTCTCTGTTTCTCAATAAGAAGTGCAGTCAGATTGAATTTTCAAATTTAATTTTTTTCTACTTTATTAGTGGTTGCTCTGGTGGGAAACTTGAAAAGTAAGAGAACAGTATAAAAGGATTTTTTTTCCCCCCTTTTTTTTAAAGATTACTGGAAGCCTCAATCTTAGTCAGCCACTGGGTGCAAAAGGAGAATGTAAAAGTCAACTTCAATGAACACAAAGAATTCACTTCTATTTCTTCTGTCATTAGTAACAATCACATTATTTAAAAATATTTCTGAAATAACTCAGTGTTGAAAATATTTTCAGGAGAGATTAATCTTGTGACTAAATACCAATATACACAGCTACAAGGTTTACAGAGTTCATAAATGAAAGGTTATTGGCAGAAACATGTTGAAAATTTTAACAATTAAAAATGTCCAGTCAAATAAGTGTTCTAAGAAGCACTTAAGAAATATTATCTATACTGCAGACAAGCCTATTAATTCAGTGCTTTACTTTGACTCTTAAGTAGGCAAAAGCAATATCTTTCTTCCCAATAAGTGTCTGTGTCTGGAAGAATTTTCTTGAACCCCTTTCAGCCTCATTTTTTTCTGTTGTCAGAGTCATTCCAAAACATCCACTTATACTGCAGGTTTCCTACCTTAGAAAAAGGGAATAATTAAAGGGAAATTACGTAGAAGCTGACATGATTAACTGGGAAGGAAATGTGATTCATGTTAAGCTTGAGATGTCCTGCTGGCTGCAGCTCTTGCTATTTCACTTGGCCAACCATCACTTGTGCTAATTTCTAGTCTCAGTTCAGAGCAAACTGCTTCTGTCCCCAGCCAAACAAAGGATGGCATAGACTTTAGCATAACGTAGAGATTTCTGAAATATTGTTTTCTTCTTCTCAAGTGATAACATAGAAAATTTATTAAATATTAGGGGTGCAATGGGGTAATGATGAATTAGAACAAAAAGCTGTTCTGATTTTGTGTTGTCTGTTTTGTTTTGTCACACAACTGCTCCTTGGTAAAATATGAGCTGCAATGTAGTTTTACCAGGAGATGCCATAAAAGGTTGTACAGTTTAATTAATTTGTCCTTACTTTTCTCATTTGTGTGGTTGCAAATCAAGAAAACACAGTCAATGTAATGAAGATTAGGTGAGTGTAAAGGATTAAAAATGGGACAGTGGCCATCTGTAACCGTGTCTGGATTACAAAAATGATAAAGCTCAAGCGGCAGTGTTAGTTAATAAAAGGGGGTGTACATGGAAATCAAATGAACTGGTGCTTCTTTTGGTGTTACAGATCTCTTCAAGGAGGTGGCAGGCGCCACCGAAATGTGTGACCAGAGGCAGCTGGGCCTGCTGCTTCACGACGCTATCCAGATCCCGCGGCAGCTCGGGGAGGTGGCGGCTTTTGGTGGCAGCAACATTGAACCCAGTGTGCGCAGCTGCTTCCAACAGGTTAGATAACAAAGAGCTTCATATGAAAAAAAAAACTTCTCTCTGAAATCTTGAGGTTCACTTTTATGTGATATAAAAAGAAGAGAGGAATCTGAAAACATCCGTTGAGTTTTTTAACAGAAATGAATATGTGCCTGCAACTGTAGAAAGTTATTGTTAAAATGTGGCTGCAAAAGATGGCTTATGGTTTAAGAGAGGATAAAACAAATTACTATTTAGCATAAAGAAGATATAAATCTTTGTGGTTTTGACAATACTGGCTGTTCTAAAAGCTGTTAAAATTTTTTGTAGCAGATAATTATCCTGCTTTGCATTGTTCAGAGCAACCTGATACTGTGAGAATGTGCTTTTCCCTACTGGAACAAGATGTGAACAGTAGGGAACAGAACAGGAGAACTATGTTGATAGTAATTTTTGACCTTGTGCATCAGGAAATTGCTTAGCGGCATTTTACTGACAAAGGGGCTTGCAGTTGTGCAAAACTTTGAGCATAGCCATTTATATATCATGAGTCTTCAGGCAGCTGATCAGAGCATGGAATAAAGCTGTCTTGCATCATGCTGTTCAGCTCCATGCTACATGCAGGGGATTAATGAGGCTTCAAGTAGTGTCTGTTTAAAGAAGATGAGAATTAAAAAGAGGCTGACATAATGGAACACAACTGAACTCAGACTTTGTCAAGGATGCCTAAGAGTCCAACTGTTTGCTAGTGATAACTATACTGCGTGAGTACATTATTTCTATGGCAGTGGCTGCTTTGAACATTGTCAGAAATTATATATGGATTGAAAATTCACTATGACATATATAAAACTACTGACTTCACAGAGGAGTACTCTTTATGTCCCTCAAGGATCTGCCCCATTTCCCAGGGGTACTAGCAAGGTAGTTTTTATATACTTGGTGTGATATTATAATTACACTCATGATCTCTGATTCAGTCCTTGGTCATTAACAACACATATAGAAAGGATGTAGCTGCGCAACAGGGTCATCTCAGCCTAGGAAAGTAAGTATTTTGCTAGTGGGGAAAGTACCTTAATCTTTTCTTTCATGCTGCTCCCTCTTACTGGCAAAAATCACCTTGATCTATGAACAGGTTAAAAAGCCAAGGGTTGCTTCTTGTCATGTGTTACCATTTAAGTATAACTTTCAGTTTAAGTTGGATTCTATTAATCCCAGTGAGCTGAGAAAGATGATCTTTCTTCTTATTGCTGCTCAAGTTGATGAATATAATGCCTTTACAGCTAGGCTCCTCTGGTGGTTACAACTTAAACAGAAAATGGAAGCGTGTTTGTTTGCTTCTTAAAACAATCATACTAGCA